GAAAAGTCGAAGAGAAAATGGATGGTATAAAAATGGCATCAAAATTGTCAGGTGAATTTTCTATTTTCTGATTTTTCTTTTTTTGTCACCTTTGCCCTCACCCTCTCTGTTCTCTTATTCCAAAGTCTTTCTCAAACTGAATCGAATTACATTTGATCTTATGGTTAGAAAATCTGTGATATTTCGATTTGGAGAAATCATTTGTTTCGGGTTTCTGTAGAAACGTAATACTAGGAATTAGGAGTTACAGGTTCCGATGGTTTCAGTTATAACTAGTAACCAACATTCAGTTTCGGAAAAGGTTTCTCTGAATAACTTTTGTCAACCCGTGACACTTAGTGTCGTCATGCTGTCTGGAGCTTCCTTTCAAAGGGGAGGAGTGTGAATCACCGCGAGACCTGATCTCTTCTCGCTTTCTGTATTCTATTCCGTGTATCTAGTGAGAACATGGAGCAATAAGCATTGGCTAGATTCGTTATTGTGTATTGGTGCCTCTACTCGTTGTCTGGAAGAGGTAATCACCACTGTACACGACTCCCACTGGCTCGTTCACATCTTGCCTATGCCTGTCCATCGTTGTCCTATCCGGGCTCGCCTCACACATGCCACCTCTTTCCGGTCCAATGGATAAGGATCGTTGTTCGTTAAAGATATTGAGAAACCACTACTTGAAACAGAAATTAGTGATGCTCATTTTGCAAGAGTATCCTTTGTTGAACTTTCATGCTCCACGAAAAGGCAACCCCGAAACCGGAAAGAAACATCAAAACGTTTGCCACGAAACATCTACAAAAATCACTGTTTGTGAATCATTTTCACGCCCTCCCCGTCTCCATTGGTACCCGATTTCCGCTCATTTCATTTGTTAGCATCATGCTTATTCCCAAACTGTTTTAAGAAAATAATCGATATGTATTGTGCTATGCTGGTTGAGAGGAAATCGCTAACATCATTAATTTGTTTTGCAAACTGAAACTGAAACCTTCGACTTTTGGTCATTTCCAGGTGAGACATGATAGGGTTGACGAACTGCAGAACCACTACACATTTAGAATGGGTAGCAGTAACAACGGAACGTACGGGGAGGGGAGCGCAAAGTTTTTTTTTAAGACCAAATTTTCCTCCGATCCATATCTTTTTCCAAATTCAATATTAGTTTAAAAAATCTTCTTACTTTGTCGTATTGGAGTAACGATACTTTTGAAGTAAAGGATTTGTCCAACTGATGATCAGCACCGATCTTTGTGGGATATTTTGTACCACCCAACTCACTCGCTCTCTCTCTCTCTGTCTGTGTATACTGGTGGAAACCACTTCGAATTCCGGCCATCGTCACGGTTTCCACGACTTATATCACACGATGTAGCGTGGCATTTTAAATTGATCAGTATAGACACACGAAAGACAGCGTCGATTTTCTCTGCGTTTGGTGATAGAAAGTTGATTATCATAACTAATCCCCAGTGTTGTGACAGCTTTTCCCAAATGGTTAACATTTTTATGCTACAATCAAAATCAAAATATTACGTGTATGAGGTTGGATTTATTTTCTTTTTTTTTTTAAGACTCTGTGCATCTCTGATTCCTCGACATATACAGTTGCATTTCGCCGATCCATTAAATGCGTATCTCGATCTGAATCGTATCTGGTTGGAAATCGTGTAAACTATTTTTTATTGTCAAAGTCCAATCATGCCAAAGTGAAGTGTTTATGTAGCAAAATTAGTTCCTGTATGGGTGATTCTTTTTGTATTTGTGTGTGCATGTGTGCTTGTTAATGGTCTATTAGCACGGACAATAATGGGTTTGGGATGGTAACTAATCTATGGACCGGACGGTTCGCAGCACAGTCTCACCCAGTCTCGCTGTCTTTCATCCTCTCACTCGTTCTGCCATCCATTCATCTATCCATCCATTTGTCCCAGCATTCGTGTGAAACCTTTACTCCCAATTTCGGTCACTCTACAGCTATGTGCAACCAACGCTCTACTATATAAGACCAATGAGATCTCGGCAGTGAACACAACACATCAGAATGTCTGCTTACGCAGACGTGCAAGTCCAAAGGTGAGATGGAGGAGGAGGGTCGTATCGAACCAATGACGATGTGGTGGTGCTACCTCACATGCCAAGATGGAACATGTACAGCCTGACAACCAGCGGGAGACAAGCCGGGCCATGTCGGATATGTTCACTTTCATTGTACAGCAGGCCTCGGTTGCATCCGTCAGTCCACCACCACCACCGACTAATCATCCATCGGTTTTATCTCAACCCACCCACCCGTCCGCAAACGGTCCCCGGGGTAGCCACGTGATTGGTTGGGCATAAAAATGCCGTCCAGTTTGCACTCGATCGCCGGACTATTATGTCTCTAGTTCGGTCAAGGGATGCAATGACATACGAGTGCATGTTCGCGCTCGTTACTGTGTATGTGTGCACATACACATGCGTGCGGACACACGCCTCTAGGTGGCGAATCCTATGCTGCCTTGAACATTGTTCACATTTTTCCCCAAGCGAACTGAAGTGGTTTTGACTATGGAAAGAAATGAACATTTTTGCGCGTGGAGCGTGCTATGAACCATGGTGATAAATGTGTGTGTGTGTGTGTGTGTGTGCGTGTGTGTGTGCTGCTTGTGCGTCCGTACACACATGGAAACTTGTGCACGTAAAAACACCCCATCCACCACCCACCGCCCTTCAATAGCACTATATCGACCAAATAATCACTC